ATGCTGGCTGATCCCCTGGTTTTCCCTGATAACCAGTCACAAAGGCTTGTGTTTGAGGGTGGCCGAGGAATGGATTGTTGTTTGCTGATGTGGCAGGCCCCTCCTCGCACTCTTCTTGCCGTTTACCTGGCTGGCCATTTAAGTGAAATTTAGACTGACACATACGATTTTTTCCCCTTCTAGCATTACATTCGCCATTGTTCCCTTAGCATCCATAATTTGTTCATATTCCTGAGTCTGTTTCTCTGAAGCGAGTGGCGCCGGGAGTAGAAAACTTTGTGCCATATTAGAAGCAGAGGCAGTGCCCTCTGCCTGATCTCACTGCACTTTAGAGTCTTTCAGCTTCTCATAAAGCAGACGCCACATTGTTAAAAGTGCTACAGTGTCTTTGACCCCCAGTGTAGCACAGTCTATAAATTTTCTCCTGTACACTCACGCTGAACGCAGTTTCAGTGGATGCTGGCACTTCATTATTTTTTCCCCATACTGGCATTCTTTGTAACATTAATTCCTCCATTTTCAGTCCCCAGTTTTTCAATATCGCTTTCCATACGTTCAGCACACTAGCCTCCTCTTTTGTGAGTGTTGCATCTATGTTCCCGGTGGCTCACCTTATCAGGTGTCAGAATTCAGGTCCGGACCAGGCAGCTCTCCCTGCTGCTCTCAGCTTCACCGGGCTCCGTCCCCGCTGCACATCGCCCTGCAGCCCTCTACAGTCTGTGGATTATCCCATCACATCACGTCGGAGTCACCAATTGTCGTGGTTGGGACGGACAAAGTGACAAGACAAGTGTTGGCGTAGCACAAAAAGCCTTTATTGTTTTTCTTCCTCATCTATTTATACTCTCTTTCCCCAGATGTGTCGTCTTCTCATTGGTTCAAAGTTTTTATTTTTCTTTTTTATTGGATAATATTTTCACAGTTCATCACAACTCAGCACTTCTGCCAAAGGAACACATATGCCTCAGTTTGCTATCAACACTTTCTTAAGACTCCAGTTTGCTGTCAGCACTTTTGACAAACTTTTTACCTTGCGGCTCTTCTTATTTCTGTTTACTCTCTCAAGGGTAGACTGGAATCTTCTCAAGGTCAAAGTCACTCTGTCCAAGGGCCTCAGTCCAGCTGGGGTCCCCCACAGATCTCATATTAAGCCCTTTAGATTCAGT